TATGTTTTTGTCTTTCAGTTCCAGCGATTATCACCGAGTCTGTTCAGTGATCGCTGAAGAACTTGTAATGTAAATCCATCAGCGACAGCGATACTTCAAGAAGACAAAACTCACACCAAAGAACCTTCAGCAAAATTCGAAGACTAAAACTGAAGATTAGAGACTGGCGAGTACGTGATCTGAAGCGGTATTCAGTTATTACAACCTGGTCTACATATGTGTGAAGACTGCCTAAGCCTCAGCGAATGCTGAAGAGACCTTCAGGTTATTCCAGCATTTAGCAATCAAAAGAAACTTATTTAGCACGACTATTTTTGTCTTGTCCTTATACACACAAAGGACAAACCTATACCCTTTCTAAAGTATAGAATGGTACGGAGCCGATTAGTTGACTCTACTGCCCACCAACTTTGTGAAAGGATGTCTGCTCATGAATAGGCTTTTGTATTATTCACTGTATCAAAGGACAAGTCTTTTTCTAAAGGCTTAATACGTGTTCTAACCCAACCACGTTGCATTAAATATGCATTTAATGCAATGGGTATAAATAGATGTGTTCTATCTCCATGCAGAGATACTCTTGACTAATACTTACTCTTGAACCCTAACTCACATTTATAAGTAAAAGAACACACATCTAAGAACATAATACGCTCATCTTCAAGAGCAAGTTAGAATCCCTTTATTGTATTCTAAATAGTTCTCTCCTAGATAGAACTTACTTTCTTCTAAGTCTTTTACAACAAATCTTTTATTTATTTGCTAAGATCTAGTGTGTAACTTTAGATTGTTTAGATATGTTTTATTTACCTTATATTTCTGCAAACAATCTTATAAAATCTGTATTGATCCTTTTTTACCAATATATATTTTAAATTTGAAAAGTTTACTGTGTTTGTATTCATTCCCCTCCCCCCTTCTACAAACTGTTATACACATCTTGTAGACCCTAATGGGACTAACAACTCTCAATATTTAGTTATTCATATTATGTAAGTTTATTCATTCCTTGTAATCCTTTATGATTAAAGTAAATTTTCATAGTAAACTTTATCACTGAAAAAGATCCCAAAACAGTTAAAAGGGACATGTATTTTACAAGTACCTTTTTTTTACTATAATACCAAAGCAATTTTCTTTATGTTGCTTTCTCATCATCAAATAGGGGAGAATGTTGATCCTCTCTCAGAGTGATTTGATGATGATCCTTTTATCTTACGAAGCTAACTATCTCTTTATTCAGCTTCATCGATCATCACTGAGTCTGTTCAGTGATCACTGAACATGTATTGTAATTCTCTCGGAGACAAGTATTCTTTAGGAAGACAAGACTCACTCCATAGAACTTCAGTGATATCGAAGATAAAGCTGAAGACAGAAACAAGAAAGTTTGTGATCTAATGCAGTTTTCAGTAATAACAAGTCTGTCTACACAAGTATGAAATCTACTTCAGATTTAGAGAATACTGAAGAAACCTCAACGTTATTCCAATGTCAGCGATCAAATAAATCTTGTTGAACAAGATTAGTTTTTGTATTGTTCTTCTACACACAAAGGACAAACTCATACCTCTCAAAGTAAAGTACCCGTACGGAGTCACTCTATTGTCTCCAAGCGTGCTTACCTACTTTGTGAAAGACTATTGTTTATATACGACAAAAGCCTGTATATCTGAAACAAAGGACAAGCTCAACTCCATAAGCTTTCCATGTACTTTGTACCGTTTGACTTGCATTTAATGCAATGGGTATAAATAGCTCAGAAGTTCTTTCTTCTCAACCTCTCCCTCTCAACCATTCTAACCAGTGAAGAGCACAACACTTCTTAACCTTTTCTTTTGGCAAGTTTTTTCTTTCTTGCTTTCTGTATAGTGTGTGTTTCTTTGATTGTTTAGATAAGTTATATATCTTATCTTTTCCGCAAATAATCTGTAAAATTCTGTATTGATCTTATTTATCAATAAAAAAATTTAAAAAGTGAAAGTTGTTGTGTTTGTATTCACCCCCCCTTCCCTTCTACAAACTATTACCTTTAAACTCTTGTAAATCCGTTTGAGACCAACAACAATTTACTCAAAATATTCATTTAGTACACGATGATCACAAAAGCTTGTCATAAGCCACTATATAATGAGAATAAATCTATGAAAGTCCACCAAAAGGTATTCACTTTAATCTTTAATCGCCAAAGAATCACCCTACAACATCTATCTGCAACATCATGTCTTCATGCAAAATAATTTTCCCCAGCTAGCACTATATTGACGTAAACAGATTCATTCCTACATTGTAGCTCCAAAACAAGAAAGCTGTAAAATCAAAACATGAAGACTCCATAAAAACAGAAATTGGGAAAGAAAAATAAAGAGATAGCATGAAGACATGGTGCAATAACATCAATAAAGTTGTGCATATCACTTGGCCATCATGAGATAAGAACCAAAGCATAGTCTTGTTAGATAATGTTGTTCTACATTTATGAAACTGTTTTTCTCCACTACTTGTGTTCATATTATATATTCCGAATAAAAAAACGTTTAATCTTTCTTTTCTTAAAAACATACAATTTTTTCAAATTAGTCTCTTTAGTAATTAAGAATCCACGTTAAACACTTTATCACTTGAATTTACCTTCTTTTTATGATTGCTCCAAGTGATCATTGATATATCCTTCGACCTAAAGCTTCATCAAAAGTCGTCCATTTGACTTGCTTCCGGATAACAAATTTCAAACCTTAATGACTTGTTGTGAACTTCTCTTTATGCATAATCATATAATCTAAAAGTCTTAAACACTTAAAATACAAGTTCGTTAATATGAAGGGACTATTATGTCAATCATCAAAACCTAGAGGTGGATCCTAAAAAAAATTTAGATCGAGGGCACATAATCTAAATAAAACAAAATTTATTTATAAAAAGTATTGTTTGATTAAAACTGTCATACAACTGCCTTTGCAACATCCAAGTGGTTTACGAAAATTTAAAAAAACCAAAAGAGATACAAAACTCCAACCTTTAGTATTACATATAACAACACTATGAGTAGACTTACAATCACTTTTTGTTAACTTAGGGAGCACATATCAAATTAAAGCGGATGTACCTTTAATACCCCTAATATTTTCTCCATTGCATCATGATGATATAGTAGGGGCACCTCCTACGCGATTATCGAATCTTCCCTGCCAAAACCAAATGTGACGAATATAATTCTAGATAAACATCAAAAATGGTATTTACACCAATAGTTGATTGACACTTTTCACAAAATGCATACACAAATCTATTTGCTACTTGTGCCGATCACTCATAGTAGTTACATATCAAGATCTCAATGATATCTTTAGTTAAATAAACATTGAAATAACTTTTCAATTTACCCAACTTTCATCCATCATTTGAAACTAAAATAGAGAGACAATGAGTACTTAATCAACACAAATAGGAACAAGGTCTCACAAATCGGCAATTGAAAGATTCTACCACCTGAGATGAGAAGAAGCTAAGAGAACCACTGATGGTCGTGATTATCGTACTTCCATATTACGGACCACATTATATTTAATGGATAGAGTTTTATGGTCGGTCTTTGACCCCCGCATCTGAATATGACCTTAGGGTAAGCTCATAGTTCATACGAGGTGAGGATGATATAATCAGTCGATGGACATAATTCATTTTTGTGCATTTGGCTAAAAGGGTTTTTTCAAACAGCTGATTCCAACTTGAGTTTGTATCTTCTTTAAGCAGATTCTTTGGTAGCAAACTTCAACTTTGATGAAGATTTATTTTTAGGCAAAAGAATAATTTGAGCATTAGTTTTTTATTTATTTAAAAAACTACTATATAACCATTATAAAAATCATTTATAGGAAGCAGATCATCGGTTCAAGTAATTAAATGCTAAGAAAATATATAAGCGGAAGTAATAAAGCACTAATTACTGTATTAGACTAAGAGAAGATGAATATAAAAGAGCAAATACAAATAGTTGAGGAATCATCGTAGTCATCATGTATATTGATAGCTGCAATTTGGGAAATGTGTTTACACCAAGAACACACAGTAGTGAGTGTGTGAAAAAGTCACTCAGAATGCTAAAAGCTCTCTCAAGTACAAAGATGATAATCAATAAAAAAGCCTACAAAACCCTAGAAAGAAACTCATATTTATATCCCAACTAAGAAAAGTCAACACGATCACCAATAGTTGATTTCCACGTGTAAAGTGGAAATAACCACTTCATGTATACGTGGCAAGCTATGACAGGTGAGGACCCTTGAGAGATCTTCAGTTGAACACTTGAGCAAATATTGGTGTTGGACTAGAGGCTCTGCATTGCCGAAGCAGAGGCTTTGTATCCGAGACTTGTCGTTTTATCGAGCAGCTCTGTATCTTCGATTACCTTAGTCTTGGCTCTTGTTCAACTAACTTCTTAGTGTAGAAGTCCTCTTGGTTTCTTTTTACAAGTCTTTTACAATGAGAAATAATTCTAACATCATTTAACTTCATTAGCATGCTACAAGTTCTTTGAGAAATACAATGATTTCTATAACGACATGCCAAATCCATCTACTACTCCTAGATGTGAGCAAATCAAGTCTCTCATAACGACGATATGGTTTATCCATTGACTTCAAGGTTCGATAAAATTAGTTGTCCTAAATGTAAGTTATCAACCTTATAGGATTAGCTTAACAAACACTAAGAATTAAACTTTTTAGGAATCCTTTTCACATATTATCGGTTTGAGTCTTTCAAATCTAGTGATGGCTTCTTGATTATTCTTCAAAACCCCTAAAATTAATCAGGATACACACACCCAAACATCCATTATTAGGAAATCCAACCACCAAATAAAATAAAATAAAATAAAATAATAAAAAAAATGTTGGTACCAAATCAAGAAATAAAAATAGGATTAAATAAAAGAGATTCGCCAGCTCCTTGCTGACTATAAACAGAAAAAGTCCAACCCCAGACCACAACTAACCACACAACGATACCAGCTGTTTCTTTCTGCCGATGTGTTGCGGTGGCAGATGGTGGTGATTGAAGACCTCCGGTGGAACTGGTAATGGCTGACGACGCCGTTCCGCAAACCTTCAGGGCATTAGTGGAGGGGGCCGAGAGAAAGTTCGCCAAGGTCCGTGATGCTCCGGCCTATGGACGTGGACCTAACCACTACTTCCCCAAGGTATTCAAGGCTTACATGAAGCTATGGGATTACCAGCAAAAAAACCGTTCTAGGCTCGTTGAATCGGGACTCCAGAGATGGGAAATCGGCGAGATCGCCTCACGAATTGGTCAGCTCTATTTCGTGCAGTACATGAGAACCAGCGAGGCACGGTTCTTGCTGGAATCTTACATTTTCTACGAGGCTATACTCAACCGAGGGTACTTTGAAGGCTCGAGTTTTAAGGCTTTGAAAGATCGAGGGCTTAGGTTTAAGGAATTGAGGTTTTACGCCAGGTTTTTGCTGGTTGCGTTGATTTTGAATCGGTGGGAGATGGTTAAGCTTCTTTTAGACCGGTTTAAGGCTCTTGTTGATGATAGCAAAGCAAAGTTTCCGGTACGATTAATAATACATACACAGATACACACGATATATGTACATTGATTGTTTAAGCTTTTAAAAGACCCTAATTTTAAAAGCTGTTCAATTTTTTGGGTTTTTTTTTTTGATTGATTGGGATGTATTGACTTTATGCATACTCCCAAGATCGAAACATTTGTTTTGCTATAATGGAGTAATTACTATCAGCTAGTTTTGGAGGACTAATTATAGGAACTTTATTAAACCCAATTGTTTACAGTTTTATATTCTCTATGAAGTTTAATGGAGGATGGGCTACTTTATGTCTTGAGTTTTCATGAAAGCATTTAGACTTATGGTCTACTGGTTTGTTGGAAGTATTGGATGAACTTTTCAGTTAATTCCAATAATGATATCAAAAGTTTTTAATCTTGCTATTTTTATCTTATAATGTTTCATAATCAGGTAAATATAGGTGAACTATTGTGAGTATCAGAAGGTCAATCAATGGGTCTTCAGCTTTTGCGAAAAGTCAACCATCTTAGATTAGGAAAGAATAGTAAGGGTGACACACATTCATATCTCTGGATGCTGTTTTGTTTCTTCTACTAAGTAGCATGTCACTGTTTACTATCTTATTAGCTTAGGACAACCGAGTTTAATTCTTCCCCTCTCCTCTTAGGGACAACCTCTGAAAAAAAAACAAAGAAGAGAAGTAGGGATTTTGATGATTCCACCTGTCCGTGCTTTTAAGGAAAAAGAGCACCTGAAAAGGAAGACCACCTAAGAAATTCTTCTCATGAACTCTTTAGCATCCACATACATTGCCTCTTTCTGTGTTGCTCCATGGAAACCACTTGCATAGCTTTATGTTTCATTAGACTTGGATGATTCGTATTTATTTGTGATATTTAATTACGTTTCAATGACTAACACTTGGGCAGTGGTGTTTATCTGAGTGGTAAACTTGCATCATGGTTCGGATTCAGATTTCAGAACATGATTCTCTGAAATTAAGCAGTAACTATGTTAGCCAGGATAAGCTCATCTGTTATAGATTGACATATTTATATGGCTATCCAATTGCTTGATTACTTCAAATTTTAGAAGGTCGCTGGTAAAGATCTTATGGTACTGCAACTTCATTGAGGAAAAACTGGAAACTTATCGACCCTTTTCATACACAATTGTTTTGCAATTGATGCAGTGTATCAGCCATATCATATGCAATCAATAAGCAATTGATGTAGCTGACTCAGTGTTAGCATTTCATCTATGTGATTTATGCCAAATAATATCGAGGAGTAAATTATGAATCACTAGTGAAAATAGTACGGCCCCGTCTGGCTATTTTGTAAACACAATGATGCTTTATCCGAGAAATCTGTTAGGAACTTAGGAAGATGATGAATTTTTTAAGGATCATTACTATTTTTGGTGTTGTCTAGATTTCTTTCTTTATGAAGGCCTTGTAGAACTATATAAGGTGTATCAGTCTCACTTAATACACTCACCGTGTCTCTATCTTCTACTTAAATGTGACACTTCTTATGCCAATTTGAATTTTCTCTTTGTTTTCTTTCTGTTTATAATTTTTTTTTTTTGGGGGGGGATTTTTAAGTTCGTCTGGAAAATTTACCATCATTTTTGACCTGTACTTACAAACCATTTCTTTGCAGGATACCACCTTTAAGGAATGGAAGGTGGTGATGCAAGAAATGGTACGGTTTATGAAAGTCGATGCAGCCTTTTCAAACACTAGGCCTTTGCGATACTGTGCTATGTTTGATTCTTACCCAAATTCACTTCCATATGTGGCACGTTTCCATGCGAAGAAGGTTCTAAAGTTGCGAGATGCATTGCTAATGAGCTATCACCGGAATGAGGTAACTGGTATACATGGTTACATAGGCCTGGTCAATGCTATGTATATTAGACTGAGATTCATATTGACCCTCTGATTAATCTTTCTGCCCTGTGGATACATCATTTCAGGTGAAGTTCGCAGAACTTACAACAGACACCTTCAGAATGCTGCAGTGCTTGGAATGGGAACCAAGTGGGTCCTTCTACCAGAAGCAACCTGTTGAATCTTACGACAATGGTGTTTCGACTGATCAGTCTGGTACTTCAGGATTAATTGATATAAATTTGGTGGCAGATATGACAGACCCATCTTTGCCTCCAAATCCCAAAAAAGCCGTTCTCTATCGACCATCTGTGATACAGTTACTAGCTGTGAGTACAGAAGTCATAGAATTGCAGTAACAATTAATTTCTTCTTGATCTTTCATTGGATGGTCGTACAGATTTGTTACTGTTCAGTTTCTTGAATCTCCTTAGCATTATTATCTTTTAAAATCTAAAGGTTTCGTTGATTGGTAAGTCTTTTTTGGAGTTGGGCAAGCATGGCTGCATTAAGATCGCGGTCTCTTGTATTTCTGTCGGTTCTAACCCCTCTATGTGAAGCCAGTAAGTTGGGTTGCCCACTGACCGCCCTACAATCCCCTAGATGGTTTGAGAAAAAAAATCAGAGAGGAAGGAAGATCACTGAGTTGTATATGGACATATTACATAAACTGTTACACTGTTATGTTTATTATGTTGCTAGTAAGTGTTCATTGATTAGCATTTACTGCGGATAGGATTGAGAATATTTGTGTGCATGCTGTGGTTCTAATGAAGTGGGTTACTGGATTAAGATGAAGCAACAAAATATGACACTGTATGGAAACTGAATATGAATATTTCGTTTGAATTAATCCTTACTTTTTGCCGGTCTCTGCAGGTGTTGGCTGCAATTTGTGATGAGCTCCCTCCGGATAGTGTTATGCTTATATATATAGCAGCCTCAGGTTTCTTCTTGCATTCAATCATCCATTGTAAAAAWTGTGGCCATATTAAGCAAGAACTGACTTGTGCTCTCTACAGGGGATTCTGGTCAAACTACTGTTCCACATAAGCATATATCTGGAAGTGTGAGGACATCTTTGAAGCTAAATACTGTTCATGAACGCAGTAATTTTATGCCTGAAAATCTTGTTAATGGCAAGGGAGGCTCCAGTCATCCCTTTGAAAGTTCTGTCTGGTTAGGGCCTACAAGAAGTGGAGGTAGGAAGTAGGAAACTCAATTTCCATGATACAAGCAGCTAAATTTATCATGAAAGATTGCTTACGCTACACACCATGTAAACCATCATTTTGCTCATCTCTTTTCATGTTATTTACAGGTTCTAACAACCTTTACCCTGGTGATCTAATCCCTTTTACCAGAAGACCTGCTTTTTTCATCATTGATAGTGACAACAGCCATTCATTCAAGGCAGGTTTGTCTAAACTTGTTTTTCACATTGTTGAAGTAGATAGTATTGAGATCATAGTTGTCTTCCGTTCAACATCTTTTTGAAGAAGATGATATCAGCTTGTATTATATTATAAATGGTTAATTTTTTTGAAATATATAGCATTTATATAAGTTAAATTCACACACGCTCCTCAGTTTTAGTGAGGCTTGAGTCCGTGACCTCCAAGGAGGTTGGGATCTACGGATACCCAGGTGCTGCTGGGCCATTGACCCTTTGGCTACGAGGTTAATTTTTAGTCACAGGAAATTCTTTTTCATCCTTTTTTCCCCTTGAAGGGCAAGTACTAGTATCTTTTGCATCGGCTTGACATCCATTTCATGCATACGCAAACGGTTTGTATGAAACTACTGCTGCTTTGATCATGTGTCTCACTTCAAAAGCAGGCATAAACTCTTCAGTTGGTGGACATGTAATGCCGTACAGACTCATAGATGGTTATGTAGGCCTTTTTGTGATCATGTGGAAATTAAGTACAATTCTCCGACTGTAAATGACCTCCTTGGCAAGGTGGGATTCATAAGTTCATCACCTTACCTTACATAGGACAAAATAACATGAAATTTCAGACTATAATAAATACTACTTGTAATTTTAAAAAAGTTAAATCTCTCTGTGTGAGACGAAAAGGGATGGGGAAAATTTAACATTTTCCAGCTAATTTGGGACCGCATATGTCCTCTCTCCTGCTTTTTTATGCCAAAGTATTCCAAGGACACTACTAAAAAATGATTTGGAATTTTACTGGTTCTAGCATGATGGTGGTGTGACCATGATGAACTAGTAGTGTGCCTAGTGGAAAACCAAGAACAAGAAATTAATCAATGTCAAAAGTTGGTCTCTTTTTCGCAATGGAAGGGGCCATCATCTTCTTTTCTGGAATTAATGAAGTTCATAAATAAGTTTATCTTTTTCACTATTTTTGTTATCATGATAAATTAGCCGTTGCGATAGTTAAATTGACGTTTGCCATTTTCTGAATTTAACCTCCTGCTATTGCAAATCAAAATGGATCTTCTTTCCTGCAATGGATGAAGTAATATAAAAAGGATTGTATTTTTCTTTGTTATGCTTGTGTATTATTATAAAATTGCTGCTAGTTAGGGAGGTAGAAATTTGCAAAGCCCATATCCATGGTGTTCCATGTTTTGTTGGCATTAACTTCTGCTTTCTAGAAACTCATTTAGTTTGATAGATAATTTTGAAGTTCATTAAGGCTAACAATATGTTTGAGTTTCTTGACTTTGTCATACAGTTTTGCATCATGTAACCTATATATAATCAGGGATGCCTTATCTTTTTCTGTGTTTCTAGGATTTTCGATCACGATAATACATAGAACATAAGAGAAATTTTACTTACTTTGATCACGATAATACATAGAACATAAGAGAAATTTTACTTACTTTTCTTTTCAAAGACTTGAGTGTTTTGGCTGTTGACTAAAGTATATATTCAAGATTCATCATGACTGGTAAAATTGGTAATTTTAGCTGTCATGGTGGTATTTGTCTTCACTTTTTGTCCAAAAAAAGGAGACATTTGACTTGTACGAAATCAAATGGTTATATTTGAAGTTCTAAAACTGTTGCTGATTCCCAACTTCAGAATTGTTAGCAAGGAACTATACTCCGCCAATGCAGAAGGATAATGCTGTAAAGAATGGAAGGTCTTCTGTTTTTTGCTGGATGCATCAGAACCTATAGAAGAAAGAAACTCTTCACCTTCAAATTCAAACATGTGGGCATGTGAAGTATTATAAAAGAGATAGAAGCAATTTTCGTTTTTCATTTGAAATTTTTTGAGGTTTACATAAAAGAAACAGAATCTAGTTCATATTATGAAAATCATGGTGGAAAGCAGGCATGGCCAATGGAAGTTTATTCGAGGATATGCTTCATTGTGCCCACAAGGCCACATCTATTAAGTGAATTGAGATGGATAGATCATAATCTCGTTGGACCAAGAGTGGTATTTGAACTAGGACCTCTAGGTTAAGTTTCAACCACCTGGAGGACAAGCACAACTGTGCAAATTGGGAAGTGGTAGGTGATCCTAATGGTGCACAGAGGTGCCCTGAATTAATCTAGAGTTTGGCAGTGAGCATATATGCATGTTTCTCTGCGACATGGGATGTAGTTGGCTTACAGAGGCTGTTTCCATGAAGACTTGATCTCTTTATCATGATTTTAAATACGCCTTACTACGTTCTTACATAGTAAGAATATGGAATCAAATATGCGAGTTACTCTCTCTCCCCTATTCAGTTTATCTTTCTTGATCTCTTAGCTATGTGCCACTCTCTTTATGATACAAAATTTCTTGACTTCTGTCTAATTCTTATTAAAAAATTGCAATCTTTTATTTGAAGAAAACATAATCAAAGATTAATCCTCATTCAGTGGCACTTGTTACAAATTAGTAGAAATTTCTTGGATGGCTGCTTTTTCTTCAGTAATTTCTTGTATATATTGAATGTGTAGGTTTGATTAATTTAATAAAACTGAAAATCGATAATAATGGGCACTTTACTTGATTAACGATGCTATTCAGGAAATAACAAAGTACTTGTTAAAAATTAATCCGAGTATTGTGCTTTTGAAATGCCAATTAACTTTTTGATTGATGAGTAGGATTTCTTCTGGTATAGCTGCTTATGTGCAATTTTATATTGCGTTCCAGGTTCTACATGGTGCAGAAAGGGGAGAACCAGCTGCCCTGCTTCTTTCACCTTTGAGACCAACATTCAAGAATCAATCTGGTGGTGATATAGTGCAGAATGGAAGTCAGTTCACCTTGTTCTTGACTGCTCCATTACGTGCATGCTGGCAAATGTTTGGCCTCGCATTTTCTGATGATGAAGTGGTATGTCGACTGGACTCCCTCCGTCCTAAAATAAATTTTCACAATGAAAAAGGCACGGTTTTAGAAATGTGTGATTATTTCACTTCTTTAATTAACTAAATGACAATTTTACCCTTGATAATAGAGGGACCAAGGGAGTAATGAATTTATCCTTCTCATTATCAAGGATAAAATTGGAAAGTAGTCAATTACGTTTCTTATATTCTCTACTCTCAGGATGTGATGGAAGACGCTGAGAGTATTGTTTCGGCTGCCTTTTCAGAGTGGGAAGTAATACTTTGTACTTCAACTAGCCTAAATCTAGTCTGGGCCCAAGTTCTCTCCGAACCTTTGTTGCGACGGCTTATTCTTAGGTAATTTGTCTTCCACACGATGATTAGGGATCATATAGTAATTATCCTGTTTTCATCGTAATGCCAAATCTAACCTTTTTTCTTGGAACAAAGGGAGTTTATATAGGATTCTTTAGCTATTATTAGTTAGTTTCATGGAGTGTAAAGAGCTTTAAAGAAAACCATACGTATGCAATAATTACTTGAAAACCTTTAAATTTTAAGGAATTATGCATTACTAAGCAATACATACAGCCTAACAATTTGCTTTTAAGACTTTTACTTAAATGCTTTATGATATGTAGTATAGATAAAGCATTTAGGTAAAAGTGTAAAAACAACTTATTAAGCATTAGGTACCGCTTACTAATGCATAATCCCTTAAATTTCAAGTTTATGTAAAATTATTGCATATGTACAATTTGTTAAAAGTATTTTGAGCTTCATAAAACTACCCCATAAACAACTAAAAAACGTTGAGCCCTAACAGAATACTCCATGATTATCTTTATTCCAAAGAGGTACTTCATCATTAAAACAAAATAAATTGCATATTTATTCTTAATCCCAATTTTTTTTATTTAAATAAAATTTTGAGTTAAAGAAATTAGACCAAAAACTAATCAGGATTTTTTTTATTTGGTGCCATATTTTTATGGGGTTTTCAAATTAGCAAGACATGTTCAACTACCACTTGTAAATTCTACTTTAACCATATATCTTTGAATTTTACTTGATAAGAAATTACATTAATTCTCCACCACTGGATTTACAATAAAATCTTATATCCCACTGGTAAGCAACTAGTAATATAGTATAGATATAGATATTTCTGGTTTCGCTTTATATTGATGTACAAGATCTTATTTGGGTCCAGATTTATATTCTGCCGGTCTGTGCTGACACTTTTTCGGCGTCAAGGAGACAATGCTCGATACCTACCCGTATGCCTACCTGAACTTCCAGATTCCGTGTCTCCGCACTCTGAAATCGTACAATCAGCAGTGTTGAGACTTGCAGAGCATCTAAAGGTTTCACATTATTTTGGGTTTGATAAGTTATAGCCATACCATAGTTAGGAGCAGATATGTACATTGATTTTGAACTGGGTATGCCAAGACTTTTAGTTTGATTCAAAAATAGTTTCTGGTGTAAATGTTTGATGAAGTTATACACAAAAGTACTTACTGTTGATGTGTTTTGTATTTTATAAAGGGAAGTAGGTTAACTTTGTGGTGTTTGTTTTATATTTGTTATTAGGGAAAAAAGGGCTCTGCTGAAGACATTAAAAGAGTAGACCATGTTTTGTGGTGTGTTGAAAGTTGCTTTTTTTGTCAATTACAGTTTTCGTTCCTGCAGTTTATATTTCATTGTTATTTTCATTCCTATGGTTTACAATTGCTTGTTGTCTTAGGAGCTGTTTACCATGTTTTGTGGGTGGTGTTTGTTTACCTCTTAATAGTTCCATTAAGATGCGGCATCTGAATTGTTAAGAGGTAAATCTTGTTTGACAAAAAAAAAAAGTCTGCCTCTTAATGGTTCTAAAACCCTCTGAATGATTTTGTATCATGAGTGTCTCTTAACCATTCAGCACCCTAATTCATTGCAAACAATTATATTTCATTTTTTACTATATCATGATAGCCTCTTAATCATTCTGTACTAAACCATTAAAAAACTGTCAAACAACCCCTATATATAAGGATGAGACTCTTATCGGTCGGAGTCAACACTATAATTTATTTTACGGGGTAAGATTGTAGTAGATCAAAACGGTATTGTATGCAACAATTATCTGGTAAACGCTTACCCGGGTAAGAGTCGTCACCCTCGCTTACCTGGTAAGACTATCATCCTTATCATCTATCTTACCGGGTAAGATTCTCGGCCCTTGTCATGTTCATCTGGTAAGGAAAATTACCCGGTAAGCACTTGTCAGATAAACATTTAGTAAATGGCCTTAATCTCTCATACTTAACGGAAAACCACTGACAGAGTTGGGAGCCGTTCATCAAACATTTATCCGGCAAGTCCTTACCTGTAAAATTCAACATTATCACTTACTTACCGGGTACGAATTTAGTCAACAAAAACGGTATCGTACACAACAATTTACCCGGTAAGCACTAACCATGGTAAGAATTGTTGTCCTCACTTACCGGGTAAGACTTGGTCCTTGCCTCACTTTTACCGGGTATGATTTTTGGTCCTTAAAATATTCATCCGATAAGGTAAAGTGACTTGGTAAGCGCATCCAAGTAAGTGTTTGATAAATGACCCCTTATTTTTAGGGACAAAAACAACAATGAATTGCAAACTATATAGATGAAATTTGTAATTTTCAAAACAGAGGGACAATAATTGAAATTTTTAACAAATCATAGGAAAAAAACATAGTTTACTCTACATTAAACCATGAAAAGGTTATGTACCCATGGAAATATATTTTCTTTTGATTTGTTTGTACAAATTTTTGTATCATCATGTGTTGGAGTTTGAGATATGGAAAACCCGTTCCATTCAAACCTGTTTTTAGTATTAAAAATATAACACGGGTTTTTGGATTTCTGGTGTGAAAATGGGTTCAATCGTGTATTTTTAGAGTAGACTTTAGTCGGGAGTTGAAAGAAAATATTTAACATGATTGGGTTTTTTTGGCCTGGTTAGGTTCGACTTGCGAGGATGTAGCTTTTTGGCACATGACTTTTTTGTGTTGTGCAATATAGAAATACTTTGTATATGATTTCTTTTTTTAATACTGCAAAATACACATGTGAACAATGAAATTCAATTCCAAATCAGTTTTGCCAAAACCCAATTATACAAAATTTGATTGGGTGAACCAAAGGGCTTTTGGCCTAACGGTATTGTAGCATTTGACCTCCTAGAAGGTCAGGGGTTCAAACTTCATCAAATGTGAGGAGGGTGTGTGAGTTTATTTGTTGCATTTGCCGTATATAAATATTATATACTTAAAAAAAATTGATTGGGTGTCTAAGAACCCTAGGCGGGACCTATGCACGAAAACAATATAATTACACAACAAAGTATCTTGAATGGCAATAGACCAATCTACATCATTTGACAAGTATATGATCAATCGTGTAGATAGGCTAATGCCGACTTCCTAGTCCGAGAAATGCACCTCAACCTAAACACCCAGAAGAACTTCAAGTTCATCACACACTCGAGTGTCTTCTCAAAGCCTCAACCAAGACCTTGAAGGACATCAATAATAGAGTAACCCGAACTAAACAAAACATATAACTCAACTAAATGGGGTATTTGGGGTCTGATGTACATAGGCTTGATCTCAACCTTAACAAGTAGATCGTTTTTTTTTTTCTGACTAGGCCTCGACTTGTGAAAAGTGTGGGAAATAAATCAAGTTAGCCCAAAATGTTTGGGAAAAAGGGGATAGGGCAAGAAAAGTAGATGCAAAAACTCTTGAAGAGTTAGTTACAACAACTTAGAAGTGTATGGGGATTGGTTGAAGGACAAGGCACCAAAAACCCAACCAAATCCGTGATGAGCTAAGTTTCTTGTTCGCTATGGCACAAACCCCTATGAACTTCCTAAAGGGCAACATAGATGCAATCACCTTTGAAAATAGCAACATTGTTGGACTAATTGTGGTTTTTCGGGACGCAAATAGGACTTTTATTGCTATTTGAACATTTACTTTACTAGGGATTCCACTGGTAGAAGAGTGTGAGGGCCATGTTGTTGAATAAATAATTTTATATTAGTAGAATCAATAAAGTTTAAAAGATTTATTAATAAGATTCAAAGCTTTATTGATAAAAAAATAATTCTAATAAAGTTCATGATAATAGGCAAAACTCTTTTTCTCAATGATATCAAATAACACAATTACAATATATATATATATATATATATATATATACATACATATATACANATATATATATATATATATATATATACATACATATATACAAGAGAGAAACCTATATTTAAGGAATGGATCACCTCTAATAATATATACAATCAACTAATATATTGGAATATTGAGATATATCTTTTGAGATTTATCTTTTGTTAATACGCCCCCGCAGTCTGAACGGGATGTGGGTGAATGTTCAGACTGGATCTGAAATCAAGGAAGAGTTGTCGAGGGAGTCCTTTTGTAAAGATGTCAGCATACTAATAAGTGGACGGGATATGAAAGACACGTACGTGACCAATGGCAACCTTTTCCCGTACAAAATAAATATCCAACTCGATATGCTTAGTACACTGTTGTTGCACAGGATTCCCGGAGAAATAAATGACCGAGACATTGTCACAGTAAACCAATGTGGCTTGTTGAAGGGGGATATGCAATTCAAGTAAGAGATTATGCAACCAACAGCACTCCGCGACAACATTAGCAACTCCTCGGTATTCGGCCTCGGCGTTGGATTGGGACAAAGTGGGTTGTCGTTTGGCGAACCATGCAATCAAGTTATTCCCTAGGAAGACGCAGTAACCTGACGTGGACCTGCGTGTATCAGGACATCCCTCAGTCAGCATCCGTGTAGGAAATGAGTTGAGTGGGTGGAGAAGGGTAAAGATGAAGACCAAGTTCCGTAGTTCCTTTTAGATATCGTATGATGCGTTTTAAAGCATTGAAATGGGGAACACGAGGAGCATGCATGAAGAGGCAGATTTGTTGGATGGCATACGATATGTTCGGCCTTGTGAAGGTGAGATATTGAAGGGCACCTGCAAGGCTTCAAAATAGAGAGGGGTCCTCGACTGGGTCACCATCCAACAAACTGAGTTTTGAGTTCATGTCGACAGGTGTGACGGCCGATTTGCGATTCCCCATGTTTACTCGACTAATTATCTCTGTAGCATACTTGCTTTGGCTTAAGAACATAGAGTTTGTTGTTTGAGTAACAGAGATACCCAAAAAGTAAGAAAGAGGTCCCAAGTCTGTCATCTGGAATTCATTACTGAGGTCCTAGAGAATGTCAACCTTGAGGGCTGATGACGATGTGGTAAGGACAATGTCATCCACATAAAGTAGGAGATAAGCAATATGGTCATTGCGGTTGTAGATAAAGAGGACGTATCACATTTGATGCAGACAAACCCGAGGTTTAGAAGGTAGTTAGCAAACCGTTGATACCAGGCCCATGGGGCCTTCTTGAGGCCATAAAGAGACTTCCTGAGCTTGCATACGTATCCCGGTAATGTCTGGTTATAAAACCCAGGAGGCTGATGCATATAGACAGTTTCTTTTAGATTCCCATGCAAAAAAGCGTTTTTCACGTCCAGTTGGTGAATGTCTCAATTTCGACCCATGGCAATAGAGAGAACAGTTCGTATAGTTGCAGGTTTGATTACAGGGCTAAAGCTTTCATCACAATCAATACCGACCTGTTGAAATTTTCCATTAACAACAAGCCAAGCCTTGTATCATTCTAGGGTTCTATTAGACCGAAATTTATGGCAAAAGAGCCAGTGGCAATGGATAATGGTGGCACCAGGGGGACAAGGTACGAGGTCCCAAGTATTCTATTTAAGTAAAGTAGTATATTCATTTAGCATGGCACTCTTCCAATTAGGATCAAGTAAAGCAACCTTGGGATTAGAAGGAATAGGAGAGATAGTTTGAGTATGAAGATTGAATCGGGGGTTAGGTTTGTGGATTCCACTTTTAAGGCGAATTTACATGGGGTGGGAGGAAGAGGGGTAGAAACCGGAGTGGGCTGGGCCGTAGGTGGGCTCTATGGTGAGACAACCACGTTGGGTTGGGCCGTAGGTGGCTGGGTTATAGGGGGTTGGGCCAGAGTGGTGTTTTGGGTGTGTTGGTGATAAGCTTAAATTTATACATTTTTTTACGTCAAAGTACCCTGAAATTAATATCAATTAGATGCTTAAATAGGTCCAATTTAATTGTGAGTTGATATATAACTTCTTGGGGCTAATTAAGTTGAAAATTTTATTGTTTTTGTGGCCAAACAGCACAAAGCAGAAACTGCAGTCCAGCAGCCCAAAAGAACAAAAAAAAGGCAGTCCAAAAGCAAGCCCAAGCCCGTGTAAAAGAAAAGAAAAGAAGAGAAGAAGCAGCAGCARCCTTGGGCTGCTGCCCAAGACCAACATCGATTGAGATTTAGAGGTCGTGCAGTAGCCAAACAGGGGGAAAGACGGGAGATCGTGTTGCAGCAATCGTGGGCAGGACAGCAGGAGATCATGGGCGAGTACGACCTGTCGAGGGCT